GACCGGTCGCGATTGCCTGTCGATCACCGCCTTGCGCAGCCACTTGAAGCCAAGGACTAAAGTTCCTGGCTTGCGTATCCTATCAGTATGATTAAGGTACGTGAGTTCCCGGGTTGAGTGCAGTAGAAGCGCACCTGCCTTGAGAATGACTAAGCGTGAGTACCTTAATAGCCCACCTTGCACTTGGACAGCCCCGTGAAACTACCGCCAATACATGAACATGATTCACAACCTACACCTCCAACATGTCTTTTCCTAGTACTGACATTAAACCTTTCCCGGTGGCGGATGCTGTTCCCTCCTATTGGAGGAAACAAGTCGGGCCCATCGATAACCATCGCAGCACTGAACATCTTCCCGCGCAGGCTGATGTTGTAATCATTGGTGCGGGATACGCTGGAGCATCGATTGTGCATCACATAATCGAAGAGTGTGTGCGTTGCGATCGCCCGGTCCCATCGATACTTATCCTTGAGGCACGTGAGGCCTGCTCTGGCGCTACCGGACGTAATGGTACGTATCGTATGCTCTTGAGATCCAGATTCAATCTCGCACGTACTGAATCTGAGGATTTAGGCGGTCATTTAAAACCAGATCCTTTGTCAAGAGCGGCCAGTGTATTGGAGACGCACGGGAAAGCGGTCGCGGAGCACGTGGCTACATTCGAGGCCCGCCAGGTCGACGCAATTAAAGAACTTGTTCGGCGTGAACATTGTGATTGTGACTTCGAAGAGACCAGGGTTACAGACGTCTGCTTTTACGAAGCAGGCCGCGATAAAATCAGAGCCGACATCGCGAAAATCGCTAAAGCGGATATCTCAACTGCGAAAGGGATAAAGTTTACTTCGGGCAGCGAAGCAGAAGAGGTATGTAGTGTCTGGAGATGAAAGTATTGATATGCTTCGTGGAATCATCTCTTTGGAGCGATCTGACCAAGCCCATAGGTTTCTGGCGTTTGGGGTGCAAAGTCTTGCCATACATATAGTGCCGCTCGCCTGTGGCCTTACCGACTTGTGGCGCACTTGCTAGAAAAAGCGGTGTCTACGGGTGTCAACTTGCAAACAAATACCCCAGTATCGTCCGTCTCAGCAGCCGATGAAAGCACAAAAGATCGTTGGGTCGTGAACACATCGCGTGGCTCCGTTGAGACTAGCACTCTCATTTATGCTACGAACGGATACACGTCTGCTCTCGTACCAGAAATGAAGGAAAAAGTCGTCCCAGTGAGAGGCATAGTAGCGCGCTTAGCGGGCGAGAACGCACCAAAGATGACTGATAGTTATATGATGCGGTTTTCCGACTACGAGTACGACTACATGATTCCTCGACCGGACGGAAGTATCGTCGTCGGTGGCGGAAGGCGCGACTACTACAAAGACTTGGACGAATGGTTCGATGTATCCGACGACAGCAGACTGATGGATGGCGCGCGGAATTACTTTGACGGTTACATGCAACGACATTTCCGTGGATGGGAGAACAGCGATGTACGCACAGAAGATGTATGGACTGGAAGTAAGTGTCATCTGCACCAGCGCCAATTATTGAATGTTTCAGAACTGACTGATTTTCTCCCGTGTTAGTCATGGGATATTCTAACGACGGATTCCCTTATGTTGGGCCAATTTGCGGAAGACCCGGCCAGTATATGTGCGCAGGATTCAGTGGGCACGGTATGCCGCAGATTTTCTTCTGCGCAAAAGCCGTCGCTTCCATGGTCATCACGGGCGATGCCGAGGATGTGGATCTCCCTGTGCCGTACCGCATCACCAAGAGTAGATGGTATCAACCCAAAGAACATGTGTCTCTCAAGATGTGGCAACAGATTGCGGAAAGCCAGCCTGCTCAAGCACGGTTGTGACGGTGAAATAGAGCGGAGAGTTTGGACCTAGATCGTCCACTTTTGCAATGCGAAAATTATCCGCTAATTTTCATACGCGCTTCGTTGGCCAAAAGAGCTAACCGGACACTCTTTATCGTTCATGTGTTGGCGGTTCTAGCGTGTGCTGAATATCATTTCGGTAGCCATGAAAGGCTCTCGAAGAACTCCCTCTCTGTGTTACCATGCTCATCAAAGTCCGAGGTGAAGAACGCTACGCTTCCATCCGAGTTGAGTAGATCGAAATCGAACGGATATCCATCAAGAGATATGTCGCTTGGTATGCTATCAACTGTTGCATCGGCTCTGTTTGGTGTCACCCTTGGGCCTTGCACCGTCGCTGCTTGTGCATTTGCATGTTCGGATGCTAAAGACCCAAAACAAGGATTCGCGGACCTTTCCGCTTTCTTGTACCAGTTGAGAAGACCGTTGTAGCCCTCTTCAGCCGGATCGTTGGCTTCCGTGGCCACAGGTTTACTTGGTAATGGATTGAACACGTTAAGTCGATGCAGCGCCGCTTCCAGTGTCTCTAGGAGCGACACTTCTGAACGCGCAGAATCGCCCGCAGAAGCCATTTCTCTTATCGCTTGGAGACCTACTTGTAGGGTGCTTGCGAACTCGTTCGTGCGGTAACATATGCTATAGGCGATCAAGACCAGCAAGGACGCGCGGCAGGAACTATATTCGGCATAGGACGACTTTGCAAGGCCCATATCGCCCGTCTGCATGATTTGGCATATACTGATAACTTCCTTCGCAGCCGCAACGCAGTCATGGACCAAGAAGTCCCACTGTGAGTGGGACTCTGCTGCTTTCCTCCGGCGTACTTCTGGGGATGCGGTATTGCCGTCCTTGGAATGCTCATTGGTCCGCGCGTGACGGTGCGCAAGGATGAAGGGTCGTCCGATGAACATGTGCAACAGGCAACACTCCAGTCGAGTATGAATTAACGCGCGGTTTTTTGGTAGCTCTTTCTGGTGGTTCGGGGTTGGCGATAATGCGCCCCTGTGAGGAGGTGACCAAGGCCCTCGCAAATCTGCCTTCATGCGCTTGATACGGTTCAGGATCGCCCCGACTTCGGCGTTTGCACATTTTCGGAGACATGATCTGGCAAGGTATAGTCAGTTGATTGTCTTCTGTTTCTGTGTATTTAGAAAGTCTCAATCTGGACTTACATTTCGTGGAGGAATGCTTCAGCATGCCTTGTGAGCTTGATTGATTCCAAGAGACCTTGAGGATAGAAAGAGTCATCGTTCATAAGGTGTGCTTCAGAGCTCTGAGGTAGATCTGCATCGATATCGGATTGTACTATGGATATCGGGCGGCCGTGGTATATACCAATCTTTCTAGTAGGTCAAATTCGTCAGCACGGGAATGATGTGGTATCAGAGAGTCAAGAACCGACGAACCGTTCCATGCAGTACACTGTCCACCAAATACGACGCCTGATCTCCTTGGTTCTCGGGTCGAGGACGTTGCGCGAAACCTTTCGATGCATTCCGTTCTGTATGGCCACCTTGATAGCTAAGTTCAGATAGATGTAACTCAGCCCAGATGCATCAATGGGTAAGGAATATAGGCCGAGAAGCAAGAGTACCTGGACGCTGAGCAGCGAGCCAGCATGGATGACTTCCGAAAGTAGCTTTGCCACTTGACGGTAAAAGCCGGATCCAATTTCGAGCTCCCAACTGCTTTGAACTTCAGAGTCTGTTGCAACGCCCGTGCTGGAAGTCTTATGACGATCTGGCGATTCTAAATGGACATATTGAGTTCCGACTGCTAGCACCATTAGTACTACACATATTGCAGTAACATCCTTGGAGCGTAGCGAAACGGGTTTAGTGTATATGTTGTCTAGGGTTTCATCAAACCAGCGTCGGTCTACATAGTAGTAGACGCTGGTGGCATGATTGAAGAAGACATTGGTCAAGAAGGTGGCAACAGGACGGGGTGGCATAACAGCAAGGATGTCCGAGATGGAAGTTGAAGTTGGATCTGCCTCACCAACGCGAATGAAATCCGGTACTCGCGTTACGTTTTCCAAATTCTAATAGCGATGGTGAGCAAACAGGAACAGACTAGGCTAGCCGCACGTACCTGCACATTGGCTTTGGCCATAAGTTCGTCTATATTGCGTTTGATGTGCATGGAAAAGTTCCAATGGGAGAACTCGCCTGAGTAATCTGCACAGCGACAAAAGGTCTCGTCAGTGTGCTTGAGGGATAACGAAGAGGTTTAAGAAGCACGTACGGACTGTCGTGCCGTCTACTCGGTCAATGGTACAATCCTCGTCTCCAATATCAGGGCTGTCAGACACTTGGACATTCCCCGGAGGCTCGATAGACTCGGGGATGATCCCGTTCTGGTCGCGTGGTGGTGTCGGCGAAGACAGGGAATCGCACATGTGCTGTAGAGAAACGGTATCCATGGCGAGATTGGGAAATTGGTGTTTGACTATGAATTCCATATATCGCATGCGGTCCATCAGCTCACTGAGCGAGTCAGGAAGGCCCGGTCCTCGCTTGTCCACTGCAGCAGGCGCAACATTGTATCTACACGGTCGGCGCAGATGGCGACAGCGCCTACACGGTGTACCATCCTCACATTTCTCTTTGAGACGGCGACACTCATCACACCTATGCGATGCTTGTCAGCCAAGACTCTGCCTCGCGTTCTTCGGCGAGACAGTGGTGGGTCTTACGCGCGAACTGCTCGTTGTCGCTCCTCTGCCGCTAGATGACGCTTCTTGGTGGGTCTTGGAGGCTCGACTTCCATAGCTCGATTTGGACAAAACAAGACTAGGTATGAGCTGGAGGGATTGGGTTGGCGGAAGGGTTCTGAGCATACGTCGTGGATTCACAGTCGTCAAGGACGCCCACCTATTGAAGCGCAAGCGATAAGACAGCTGAATGACGCGCAATGCAGCGACGTTGAAGCCGTCCAGCTTCCTGCAGGGCGCTCCGCACAAAGCTTATCCATTATAGGTTAGTAGTAGCCCCAGCTTATCACAGACACGCGATACACCGGCTAATTCGCATCACAAGAGATAATGGCGAATATCGGGCAAAATACTGGGGAGGAATAGGAAAGGGCATGTGGAAATGAACATCTTTTACTGATGTCATTGAGACTTATCTACAATCTCCTGCGCCATTTCCATGAGACCTCCAGCCACCACCTCTAACTTCACGTCACTAAAAACGTCGAGACAAGCTTCCCTCTCGTACACCGAGCTCCATGCTCCACGAAAACCGACTTTTGTGGCCGCTGCGACATCCCACATGTGCGCTGCAGCGAACCATTTCACATCGTTTGCCCCAAGTCGTTTCCATACAGCCTGATAGGCGGGGAGAGCGGGTTTAGCCACTCCTGTATTGTCGCAACTAATGAAATTCTCCAGCGGCATGTCTACACCGGCGCGCTCGAAATAGCCTCTGACCCGTTGCACATCTCCGGTGGTGAAGCACCAGACTGTAAAGCCGTTGTCGCGCAGCAACTGGAACGTCTCCCGACAGCCAGGTCGCAGCTGTAAAGCGGAATAGCCTTCGATGCACTGTTCCCGCTCCTCTTCAGTGGCTATAGCCCGAGGATCAGCGATGCCACAAAGACTGAGGGTCCGGTAGAATAGTCCTCGGAGAATGTCCTTGTAAGGCTTGTAGCTTTCGGAGATGGACAAGAAGGTGAATTCCAGCTCAGCAGCTGTCTGCCAGGTGTACCCGAAGTGTTGCGGGGTTACGTAATGATGGCGAAGTTTTGCACCTAAGACTGAGTCTATGCGTTCGTAGTAGGCGTCGAATGATACGCAGGTGCCGACGACGTCGAAAACTACGTGCTTGAGAGGCTGTGTCATTCTGACTTTCAGTGTGGTATGTAGTAGCTAAGACCAAGGAGTTCGACAGCGGTAGATGCAAGATATGTTGACATGGCATGAGTGACAGACCTATGGAGAACAGACCCCTGCATCAAGCTCGGTATTCTGATGTCTCGTTATGGTGAGTAGCGGTACTAGTGGATGATAGAAGACCGGCCCGGTCTGATATGACTGCCGCAGCGCTCGGGCCATGTAGTTATCGATAGTAACCGGAGCTCACCCGGTTCTGCCATTGACACATAGGTACCTAGGTACGATAACGATGAGCAGTAGTTTCAGCGAACTCCGGACCGGTGTTATCGTTTCTCAAGCTCTAACTTCCTAAGTTGAAGTGATAAGCTTGATGACCGGGCCATGTAGCCGGTCGGTTTCCAAAAGAGCGGTGTTCGATTGCCGATATGAAAACGTATACGGTGTGGATGGCCATGCGAAACGTGCTCTCTGTTCGCTCGTAGAAAGTAACCTGTTATTCTCAATTCCTCGAAATGGTTTTACCAGTTATCAACCCTACCAAATCCTACTGGATTGAGGCCGCGAATTCGCCATTGCGCAACTTCCGCTCTAGCGAAGCGTTACCTGAGGAGACTGATGTGGCAATCATCGGCGGTGGTTACGCCGGCGCATCGACAGCTTACTGGATCAACAAAGTTTGTGACCGCACCAAAATGACTTGTCCATTCACCAACTCTGACGGGTGATTAGTACACAGAGAATGCTTCAAGACAGCCTCACGTGACTCTCCTAGAAGCTCGTGAAATTTGCGGAGCTGCCACCGGACGCAATGGTAATAGTACTTGCATCTCGTCCCCTGGAGAAACATCTAACAACGAATAGGAGGACAATTGAGGCCGCATGCTTATTCCCGTTATGTGAAATGGTCGAATCGATTTGGCCCCAATGGTGCCATGGAGCTTATCGAACATGAGATGGCTCATTTGCCGGCATTTAAGAATTTAACTGAGGAAGAAGGTATCGCGGAAGAAGTCTGTCTCAAGTTCGGAGAAACGTTCGATGCTGCCATGACCGATGAGGCCTGGACGAGGCTCAAGGGCGCGCTTGATGCCATGCGGAGGGATCATGGCGACGATCATGAGATCGTCAAAGTATGCAGAGTGATCGAAGACGCACACGAAGCGGAGGAGTTTACACAGATGAAGGGTGCTCTTGCTGCAGTGGTGCATCCTGCAGGGCAAATGTCGGTTCTTCCCAACTGTACTACTCTCTCACGCAGACCTACTAACCTCGTCTCAGATGGCCATACAAATTGGTGCACGCACTCTTGCGCATCGTTCTGCAGAAAGGCAACCTCAATCTGCAAGCTCACACCCCAGTCACGGATGTTTCAGCGCGAGATGCCGAGGGTTGGATCACAGTCAAGACTGAGCGTGGAACCATTCGTGCCAAATCAGTCATTCACACGACAAACAGATGGGCTTCTCATCTTCTTCCTGAGTTCAATAATCTTATACTGCCCGACAGAGGAACTATTGCAGCACTAAAAGCGCCCCCGGGATTCATAAAGCATACCGGTGCCCAACATTGGGATTCAGTTGTCAACGTGAGGCTTGCATATGCTCCCTTCACAATCGATAACCTGCTAACAAAGACAGAACTATCATCTCCAGCTCCCTCCGCCCTATAACACTATCATCATTGGAGGAGCAAGGCAACTTCTCGTCCACAAGCCAGAAGATTGCTTTCCCAGCGATAAGAACGATCAGCAGATTGCTGGAGCAGCTGCATTCTACGAATCTTGGGGTCCCTCAGATGTCGTAGGCTCGCCGGATGCAGTTCCAGCGGAGCTCAGCAAGGAAGCCAACGAAGGCGGCTGTTGGACTGGAAGTAAGAGAACGCCGTGTCGGTGAACTTGACATACAGTTAGCTGACTGGACTGCAGTTCAAACCGAAACTGCAGATGATTTTCCATTTGTTGGTACGGTGCCACAGCGGCCGGGCCATTTCATTGCGGCCGGATTCGCGGGACACGGTAAGTCTACTCCATTGTTGAGAATCACAGATAGGCTAATGTGTAAAGGCATGCCTCGCGTGCTGGGTTCGGCTGCTCACGTCACGCCTCTTGTACTAGAGTCGCTTGGTGTTGAATACAGCCAGCCCCTTGTTGCCGCGTCATTTCCTCCACTGCCTCAACCGTTCCGCACTACCGCTGAACGGATTGAGAGACTCCAGGATACGAATCTCAGCGCGCTCGCTGAGGAGTACAAGCAGAGCTGTGGAGAAAGTGCGAAGAAGTCATTTTGCAATACCGTGAGGGTCATGTCTGTGCTTGCAAACCCGTCTTCCTGGGATGGTGGCGACAAGCAGATGATGGCTCAGCCATAATGTGAACGTATGTGGTTTGGACTAAGGCGAGAGTACCAGAGAAAGCATTATAGAGATACCTTACCTTTCTACATTGTGAAGCAGGGTGCAAACACCAGATACCCGTGTACAACTCCTTAGCCTCTTTGGCAATGTTTGTCGTTCTTTTCGTTCTACGTCCAATGTCCCTGATGTTGCCACGACCTCTGATCAATATACTGATGACTACGTCTCAGCCACCGTCCCCGATGGGGCGCTGGGATGACCTCGGTAAAGGCACTTTCTGTTGCAGTTCTCCGCAGTATATAATATGTTAACTTAGCTGTATCTTCCACATACGACCATAGGACACTGAAAATTAGGCTTCCCGTCCGCTCAGCCATATACAAGCAGTGTACCGGCGGATTAGTAGTTAGGTGGGTGACCACTAGCGAATCCCCGCTGTTGTATGTTTTTGCCTTTTTGAAGTAATATTCTAGAGCTTCAGCGACGACGTGCTTGGGTCTTTGGAGCGTGACAGAGTGTGCTTACCTTTTGCCTCGGCTCTGTGCACGTTTGTACAAGATCTAGACCCACTCTGACGTAGTGAATGCCTTGCTATGATATTGATAGGATGTCCGATGTCTCAAGCGCTGGGAATGCCTCATAGTGTTGTCGCTGTATCGAAAGACATTGTTCACTTCCACTTCCCTTGGGATAGATGATTCGTTGGGTGAAGGACATTCGTATATACATTCTATCGTTCAATCATACGTCAAGCGTTATATCTAGTTGCCCTTGTCGTCAGGCATCTACTTCTTCTTTGGGACCATGGACAAAAGAGTGTCGGCGTCTCTGATTCCAGCCAACTGACCCTGCTGCACGCGCTTAACAGTAAGCGCGGCGATGAGGGCGGCACCTACACCAGAGCCGTCCTCAGCGGGGAGGACCTCGACAGGGTCGCCCTTGCCCTTGCCATACTTGTTCGGCCAGCCCATAATCTCCTTGAGCGCCTGAGCTTGGCGGACCTTGAAGTGTGGGTACTTTGTGAAGACAGAGCCATCAGCACCAACGTGAACTTCATCCCACTTCTTGTGCTTGCAGATGGCGGAAACACCGCATGCGGTAAGACGGGCAGCACGCGTACCGATGAGCTCAGCGAGGCGGCGGATGAGCTCGAGTTCGGGCTTGGTGCAATCGAGGCCGAGCTTCTCCTGGAAGAGATCGTGTGTGTCTTGCAAGTTCTCGAATCTGTCCTCCTCAATTGAAGACAGGAAACCTGCGTCAAGCGAGTAAGGCTTGTCGAGCTTGCTAGCGTTCTGGCCTTCGAACATATGGCATTCGTTACCCTTGTGTAGATCCTGGAGAACCAAACGGAAGATCTCGCCAAGGTACAAACCAGCGACCATCTTCTCAAATGATTGCTGACCAGGTCGTGGTGACTCCTTGTCAACAATGACATCGTACTTTGTCCTTGGGAGGACCTGGTGCTCGTTGTCAAAGGCTCCCCACTCGCAGTTGATGGCCATGGGCAGCTTGGGGTCAAGGTTCATGTGCTTCAACTTGGGGATGGCGCCACACTCCTCCATGTAGGCGGCATTGCAGCCGGTACCGAAAATGCAGCCAATCTTGATGCTCGTGTTGGTGTAGGCAGAAGCGATCATAGTACCGGTCGTGTCGTTGACCAGAGCGGCAAGCTTGATGGGTACACCACGCTCTTCGAGAGCGGCCTTGAAGCCTGGTACGACGTCAACACCCTCCATGCCGGCTACATCGAAGCCCTTGGTCCACCGCTGGAGAACTCCGTGGTCGATGGCGTCTTGCGAGACGGGGTATGAGAAGGTGAAACCGAGGGGCAGATGGTCGAGCTGCTCGTTTTCGTGGTGGTATTCGATGAACTGCTGAAGACAGTCGGCGACATAGCCCCAGAGTTCGTCGGCGGTTCCGGTCTTCAACTCTTCGGGCATGCGGTACTTTGATTGTATGATCTCGAACTCGCCCTTCTCTTCTGTCAAGGTAACCTCGCAGACACGCAGGTTGGTGCCGCCCATATCAAGGGCGAGGTAGCTGCCGGTTTCGTTGCCATCGGGGAAGGCCATACACCAGGTGGGAATCATGGGCTATGGGGGGGTCAGCGCATTTCTGGGACAGGGCATAGCGAGCTGCAACTCACAATGCTTCCGCCCTGTTCCGACAAGCCCTTCTCGAGTTCGCCGACGAAGTGGTCCGAAATCTTCTTGAGCTTGTCTGTGGGAACGACAAACATGTCTTCCAGCTTGTCGATCTGCTCTTTCAGATCCTTGGGCATGTCCGCCATGGAGCCTAGCACAATGTTATCCCATCTGTCCTTGCGTGCGATGACAAGACTCGAGCATACCCCTGCGGGAGGGCGGTTTCCTTGCGCCTAGTAGCACCATGATTGCGGTTGTGAGGGTGGTTTAGGTGAGGTTGTTGGTGTTATCGCAAAAGAGACGGCGGTGTTTCTGAGAACGAGAGTTCAGGACGAGAGGTGGGGACCCTGACGTAGAGTGTTAGTCTCTGAATGACCAAGGAGCCCTGTGGGCTGGCTAGACCGCAACGAAACAGCTCAATGGTCATGCACAGCGGTCAATCCCACTTTTGTATACGATATTTGCTTCTCCACCCGCCCAGGTTGCTTTTGGACGTGCTATGGGGGGACA